GAGCTTTTCCATAAATATTTTCTTTGTTCATTTCATGTTGTGCTTGCAGCACTTTTATAAATGTTTTGATATAATTTGGTTTAAATTTTATCGGATTTAATTAAATATCAATGCAATTTAATGATGATTTTATTAGGCATAGATATTTTAGATACACATCCTTAATCTAAATTGGAGCTAATTTGCCCAACTCATTTTATATTTATTTTTTGTCAATACCTGCTTTTTTATTATAAAATATCTGTTTGAGCTTTACAAATTTTATACATCCATCTTCCTCTACCTAACATAATCAAAAATTTCCTACCCTAGTATAGGTACTAAGCTAGTTATAAGAAATTTAACTAAAATTAAATACTATCTATACTAACTTACTTATTTTTCTTCAATTTATTTATTATTTTTTAAAGGTCTGATATAGCCATTTAATAATAAATTATACCTGGTCCTTCGAGGTAATAAAGTGTCTGTGGTAGTGGAGTTCATTACTGTTAATTAACATTTCGGGCGCTTACAATATCTTTTTTTAATCTGCAGATTAATTTTCCCTGACAGTAGAGTCATTTTTTCATTCTGCATTTGCTTTAGTATATTCACAAATCTCAAAATGCAAATATTAAATTTGTCTGTCATAGAGTACTTTTTTCTGTCGTAGAATGATTTTCCTGCCTATTTTTTTATAAGTATAGATCTTCTTGCTTTTTTTAGTTTAAAATATCATTCACTGCATTTTGCAAACTATTAATATACATTTTTATTGTCAGTACAGTCCTTCTGTCTGTTGGTAGTATTCCTTTCTTTTAATTGTCAGTAGAGCCGTTTTGTCTATCAATAGTTTTTATTATTTTGTTTAGTCGATATATTTTTTGCCTGCCAGTACAATCATCTCATCTGAAAATTGAATCCTTCTGAATGTCAGTAGTCCTCCTCATTTTAATTGTCACTATAGTCTTTTAGTCCTTCAGTAGAGTCATTTTTTATTCTAAAATACTCTCTTCTATTTTGCTATCTATTAAAATAAATTTGCCTGTCAATACCTTCCTTTTGTCTGTCAGTATTTTCTTTTCATTTTATTGTCAGTAAAAAGTTCTTCTGTCTGTCATTAGAATTATTTTTCCTGTCAGTAGAGTCTTTTTCCTGTCAGTAGTGTTCTTTTATTTTATTGTCAGTAAGTCCTTTTGTCAGTAACCAGTGAGGTCCATGCTCGAACTGTTGTCAGCTTTTTCATGGTGAATTTTTATTCACAAACTTTTAGAGCTCGAAAGATATGATAAGATTTTTATCGATTTCTTCATTCAAGAGATATGGCTCTTTTGTTTGGACTCATGGTTAAACAGTAAATAGTATTTTATAAATGTACAAAATAAACTCGATCTTACCATGTATCTGTATAATTAATCACTATAAGGTATTGTTGATAATATTACTACACATTTAATATCATATAGAAATGATTAACTGTAAAATAATTTCTCTCATGAACAGCTAAAATATTTCTGTGGTAGAAAATCATTCTAACTGACGAAATTTTTCATATCATATCTCGAATTTTGGGCGGCTCGTATCTCGAAACACTCGTATGTCAGATTACGCTCAATTTGGGGTACTACTGTAGTTAATAAATCTAATAAATTGTCACACTATAGTAATTAATAAATCGGTTTACAATATGGAATTATAGAGTATGCTTACATTTTTTTGTTTAAATTGCAATTGATTTAGTTGTTTGTCGTTCATTTTAGTATTTATAGTATTTAGTATTTTGATAATTAACAATATGTAAAGTTAGAATGTTTCTTCTGTTTGTTTCGAACATTTTATTTGTATACTTTAGTACAAACTAAATTACATTATAAAAGTTATGAAATATTGTTGTATACACCTATATAATAAATTTAAATATCTTGTAAGAACGTTTTTCTGGTAATAGACAAGTATTTAGCAATGTGTGAATTTTGGACGGTTTCTAATATTTTTTTTTGAATAACTTGGAAATTTTTCTCCAGCCGCTACGTTTTATATATATACTTCAGTAAAAACTAGATAAATTTTTCTAAAACCTGGTATAACTTGTTATTTACATTTGCATATTAAAATTTTGATTAATTCGTAGTTAAAATGCGGACTTCAGCGCCTTGAACACTTGCGATAAATGATTTTAGGACATTTCTTTAGTTTTCTTCAAATAACTTGGAATTTTTATTGCGGACATTATAATTTGCTTATATTAGTAAAAACTAGATAAAATTTAATAAAATCTAGTAAAAGCTGTTTCATATACTTTGATATTGAAATTTTGAATAATTCGTGGTTGAAACGCGGACTTTAGTGTTTCCATAACTTGCAATACATGGATTTGGTACATTTTTTTTGTTTTCTTCAAATAACTTGGAATTTTCATTCCGGAGATTATAATATGTTTACATTAGTAAAAACTAGTTAAAATTTACTAAAATTTAGTAAAAGCTGTTCATACACTTGTATATTGAAATTTTGAATATTTCTTTGTTGAAATGCGGACTTTAGTATTCCATAACTTGCACTATATGGATTTAAGACATTTTTTTAGTTTTCTTTAAATAACTTATAATTTTCATTCCGGACATTATAATTTACATTAGTAAAAACTAGATAAAATTTAATAAAATCCAGTTAAATTTGTTTTATACACTTTGATATTGAATTCTTGAATAATTCGTAGTTGAAATGCGGACTTTAGTATTTCCATAACTTGCAATACATGGATTTGGTACATTTTTTTTAGTTTTCTTCAAATAACTTGGAATTTTCATTCGGGTCATTATAATTTGCTTACATTAATAAAAACTAGATAAAATTTGATTTACTAAAATGTGGTAAAAGCTGTTTCATACACTTTGATATCGAAACTTTGAACAATTCGTAGTTGAAATGCAGACTTTAGTGCCTTGAACACTTGCAATAAATGTTATCGTTAGTCCAGTTTTTAGTATTTTTACGGGGCCCGCATATAGTGTGTTAAGTCGATTATTTATCTATTTCTCCTCTTTCCAGGGACTATAAACAGTGTAGATGTACTAGGCGACCAATGTCTTGTCAAATTCGGCGACAACACATTACGGTGGTACCCTTCCAAAGAAATAAATCACCTGAAAGTAAACAAGGCGGACAGTGGACCCTTGTGTGTCATTTGTAAAACATCCGAAGACAAGGAAGGTGATAAGGTCATCGTTTGTGACAAATGTGGCAGGGGGTACCATCAGAAATGTCACACACCGAAGGTGCTGAATCTGAATGGAACCTGGAACTGCCGAAGGTAATAATTGATATATGTTGATAATTGTTGAACTACCAAATTGAAATATCAAACTGTGGCATTGTGCCTTAAGGCAAATGGAATGGAACTTTCCGTACCAAAAATTAATTTTGTTAAAAAAAGACAGACATTTTTTTTAAAGTGAAAAAATTAGATTTTTGAATAATTTTAAATTTTTGAAAAAATCGACTTTTTTGGATAAAAATATTTGAAACTAGTGGTGTATGGCATAGTGCGTTAGGGCAAATTGCTGGAACTTTCCGTACCGTAATGAAATATTCTCGAGGAGTTTTAAACGTTTTCAAAAATATTATTACAAATACTGTAACTTTCACTATTTTTGCTATCTTGTTATATCTGAGCAAATCAAATGTAAATCATAAATCAATTTATCTCCTATCATCTATTAACAATCGTCAATTCATTTCGAATTCAATTTCAAAAAACAGTTTAGTTGCCTAATTTACACAAAATTGAAAAAGTGCTCGCGTATAGTCACAGTCTAAACGCATTTGCAAATTATTCTGTGCGACATTCGACTTATACTGTGCTTAGCTTGGCGGCATTTTCACATTTTTCAATAGTTTTCACAAAATTGGAAATGTGCTCAAACAGTCTAAACGCACTTGGGTAAGCATTTGTACCAGAGTGGCGCTTAGACTGTGCTTAGCCTGGGTAATTTTTTAAATTTTTAATCCGAAATTACAAAAATATTTTATGGAGAATAAAAAAAGTTGAATTAATTTTTTATCCTCGAAAGCAATTGTTTTGTCAATCCAAGCAGAAATTTTTTTAGATCATTCAAATCGGACGCTTAGTTGACTCAAAAACTGCCATTTTTTGCACATTTACTCTGTATCTCCGTAACGGCTGGACCTACCATTGCCAAAAACTAATCACCTTTTCTCCCAATCATTACAAATTGAATGTTTTTTAGATCATTCAAATCCGATACTCCGTTCTCTCAAAAACTCGATTTGTATTTTTTGCACTCTTTGCTCCGTATCTCCGTTACGGCTGGACCTGCCTTCGCCAAAAACTAATCAGCACATCTCCCTATCAATAGGAATCGAATGTTTTTTGAACCATTCAAATCGGTTGATCCGTGCGCTCGAAATCGTGGACGAAAAATTGTATCCATACATACATACATACACACACTCACCTAACAATAAGGTATGCTAAAATGTTCAGAAACCTCTGAAACGTAAAGATACGCAAGTTTCGATTTTCAGTCCAAATAATAATTCATTAAATAATTTAAAATAATAAGATTTTTTTTAAATATTTTCAAATAGTTAATTATAAATACTATATATTTTATCGTTCATGTTATATAGCGACGATCTTATCGCATAAAACATTTAAGTATGTTTACATTAATTAACATGCTGAATCTATCTGAGGATAGATTTCTTATGATTAGAAAAATGCATATAAAATATGTACAATTTTTAAAATTAAATTGTTTTTAAATTTATATTTAAAGTAAAAAATTTAAAAAAAATATGACAATTTTGATATTCGTTTGAAGCATACAAGTTAACTTTAAAAATTAAGAATCTTGGTACGGAACCCAACAAAATTAGTACTCATTTTTAAAATCTTTAAAAAAATATGTAATAATTTGATGTACATATGTCCAATAAACATTTTCGATCGCCATGTGGCATTTTTTTAAAATTATTTTTGAGAGTTCACAAGCGCTTGGCCTGCCTTTCCAACAATTTGAGCAGTTCATCTTGTCAATACAAGTAGAATGTTCTTAGAATTATTAAAATCGGACGCTCCGTTCTCTTAAATACTGAGTTACCGTTTTTGGCACTTTTTGCCACGTATCTCCAAAACGGCTAGACCTGTCTTTGCCAAAAACTAACCAGCACGTCTCTATATCAATACATATCAAATGTTCTTTAAATTATTCAAATTATTCAAATATTTTTTAAATTATTTATGATCGGTGTTCCAGAAATCGTCGACGAAAATTTGTATCCGCACACACATACATCAATTTTTTCTAAGGTATAATAGAATGTTCAGAAACCACTGAAACGTACAAAGATATGCAAAAATTTTCATTTTCGATTTTTTTGCGATCACTATTAGTGCAGTAAACGGAGACGAAAAAAGGGCATAACCTCTGAATTTTTTTACTGTGCTCCGAATTGAATGAAATTTTGGAATTAGGTTCACCTTATACTCAAGTTCAAAAGTGAAAACAATTCGGGTTGCGCCCTCACCCCCCGGGGGGATGACACCCCTTCTCAAATGTGTAATTACATTTTTTCAAAATAACGTCGGAAATCGATAAAAAAACTAATTATAAGAAAAAATGTCTTTTATAGTTTTTCAAAAAAACTAATACTTTTCAAGTTACTGGCCACTAAAGATTCATATATTTTCGGCGTTTTTCTTTGTTTTTTTGCAAATATTTCTTAAACTATACATTTTAACGAAAATCATGTAATGAACAAAATAATGTCAATAAAAATCTTAATAAATCGGCATTACATAAAGTGTTCTAGGAAAAATATTAAGCAAGATTTGAAAGAGAAAAGTCGTTTTTATTTCGTTCAAGATTTAATTGTTGTATTTAAAGCCATCTAGTGTCGAGGTTTTACATTTTATGCATTTCGGTGAAATTGGGTTTTATAGTGCTATACATAAGCTTTAAAATGAGTGCTGTTACAAGTTTTTTGCGCGTAAAATGAGTAAGATATCATGCAAATAAGAAACATATACGATGGTTTTTTCTTCTAAATCATGTGGTTTAATGAGCGTCGTTTCCACCAGAATTAAAATAATTCACATTCCATCTATAATTCACTTCATTAAAGACCTTTTGATAGATTCTAGCAGATTCACTATTTTAGTACAAACTATTTTCGGAAAACTCACGATTTTTCCTCAAACTTTTTGTTCCAATTTGCGCGGTCGCGCAGTCTTTAAGCATTCATAACTCTGTAAATTTTTGTATGAATGAAAAATAATAAAAGACAATAATAAGCCATAAAGATCCCTTTGACTTTGATCTATATGTTTTTATACGTATTTTTTATTCTTTTTGAGATATAATGAAAATAATTTCGACTTTTAAAAAAATTGAAAAAAAAAGTTTTTATAAAATCGTGAGTTTTCTGAAAATAGTTTGTTCTAAAGTAGTGAATCTGCTAGAATCCTTCAAGATGCCTATAATAAAGTGAGATGGAATGTGAATTACTTCAATTCTGATGGAAATGGCGCTCATTAAACCATATGATTTAAAAGAAAAAAACTTTGTATACGCTTCTTATTTGCATGATAGCTCATTCATTTTACACGCAAAAAACTTGTAATAGCACTCATTTTAAAGCTTATGTTGAGCACTATAAAACCCAATTTCACCGAAATGCATAAAATGTAAAACCTCGACACTAGATGGCTTTAAATACAACAATTAAATCTTGAACGAAATAAAAAAACGACTCTGCTCTTTCAAATCTTGCTTAATATTTTTCCTAGAACACTTTATGTAATGCCGATTTATTAAGATTTTTATTGACATTATTTTGTTCATTACATGATTTTCGTTAAAATGTATAGTTTAAGAAATATTTGCAAAAAAACAAAGAAAAACGCCGAAAATATATGAATCTTTAGTGGCCAGTAACTTGAAAAGTATTAGTTTTTTTGAAAAACTATAAAAGACATTTTTTCTTTTAATTAGTTTTTTTATCGATTTCCGACGTTATTTTGAAAAAATGTAATTACACATTTGAGAAGGGGTGTCATCCCCCCGGGGGGTGAGGGCGCAACCCGAATTGTTTTCACTTTTGAACTTGAGTATAAGGTGAACCTAATTCCAAAATTTCATTCAATTCGGAGCACAGTAAAAAAATTCAGAGGTTATGCCCTTTTTTCGTCTCCGTTTACTGCACTATATAACTTACCCTAAGGGAAGTTGATAAATTTATTTTTGGTTCTATTGTAGATGTGTAGACCAGACGCATTATATAAGAAAAATGGAAAATAGAAATATGCGGAGGGAAATTAGAAGGAATAGCACAAGTACTACAGCTGAAATTGTCAACTCGGCTAGTGTAATTCCTGCACCGGTTGTGGAGAATCAATTACCATATGATGTAAGTCTAAGATAAAACTACAGATAGATATGTAATAACCGAATGGTTGTACTGTTTAAGTGATTATATTCTAAGTATTCTTTTTTTCTATTTTTAGCTTGAGAGTCTAACATGGGATGCATATCACCGGAAGAATGCCCAACAGACTTACTGTTATTGTGGAGGCAACGGTGAGTGGAACAATCAGATGTTGCAGTGCATCAGGTGTCGACAGTGGTTCCACGAAAGGTGTATCGGGTGTCTGCAGTATCCACTTTATTGTGGTGACAGGTGAGTAATAATAATTGAGACAAAAATACTAGCCGAAGAAAACGAATATGTATAGTGGGCAAATAGAGAGTAAAATGCTAACATTCAACTATGAATCATTCAAAATTTTAATATCAAAGTGCATAAAACATTTTTGACTAAATTTTAGTAAACTTTATCTAGTTTTTACTAATGCAAGCAAATTATAACGTCCGGAATGAAAATTAAATTTTTTTTGATGAAAACTAAAATGTTTTGCAAGTTATGGAAATACTAAAGTCCACATTTCAACTACAAATTATTCAAAATTTCAATATCAAAGTGTATGAAACAGTTTCTACTAGATTTTAGTAAATTTTATCTAGTTTTTGTTAATGTAAGCAAATTATAATGTCCGGAATGAAAATTAAATGTTATTTGAAGAAAAATAAAACTAGCTGTAAGTGGAATTCTGTCTTGAGGCAATTATGGCATCGTGCCTTAAGGCAAATTGCTGGAACTTCTCGTACCGTAACGAAATGTTCGAGGAATACTGAATGTTTTCAAATAGATTATTATAAATATTGTAACATTGTCTAATATTTATAAGAATTATATAAACTGAAAAAGCTGAAATTATTTGTAAAGTTATAATTAGAACTATAGTCAGAATTAAAAATAAAATCTGAATTATTTTCGACATACAAAAAATTAAAAAAAAAAAAAGTTGGAACAAAATTTTTTTTCTCAAAATTAATTATTTTGTTAAGACAAGCAGAAAGTTCTTTGAATCATCTAAATCGGACGCTTAGTTCTCTCAAAAACTGCCATTTTTTACATATTTAGCTCCGTATCGTCGAAATGGCTGGGCCTGCTTTTGCCAAAAGCTAATAAATACTTCTCCCAATCATTACTAATTGAATGTTTCTAAGATCATTCAAATCGGATACTCCGTTCTCTCGTCGTTTTCTATTCTATACTCCTTCTCAAGTCGATTTCTATTTTCTGCACTCTTTGCTCCGTATCTCCGAAACGGCTGGACCTGCCTTTGCCAAAAACTAATCAGCTCTTTTCCCTATCAATAGGAATCGAATATTTTTTTAACCATTCAAATCGGTTGATCCGTGCGCCCGAAAACGTGACTGGAAATTTGTATCCATACATACATACACACATACACATCCATTTTTTCTGAGGTTCTGAGCCAAAATGTTCAGAAACTTTCAAAACGTCGAGAAATGTAAAAATTTCAATTCCGATTTTCGGCCCATTACAATAACTTACCCTACGGGAAGTTAAAAATGTCCTAAATCCACATATTGCAAGTTATAGAAATACTAAAGTCCGCATTTCAACTAAGAATTATTCAAAATTTCAATATCAAAGTGCATTAAACATTTTTGACTGAATTTGGGAAATTTTATCTAGTTTTTACTAATGCAAGCAAATTATAATGTCCGAAATGAAAATTAAAAGTTATTTGAAGAAAACTAAAAAAATGTCCTAAATCTATATATTGCAAGTTATAGAAATACTAAAGTCTGCATTTCAACTAAGATTTATTTAGAATTTTAATATGCAAATGTAACTAATAGGTTATACCAGATTTTAGTAAAATTTATCTAGTTTTTACAACATAGAGGCCGGAGAAACATTTCCAAGATATTCAAAAAAATGTTAGAAAATGTCCAAAATTCACACATTGCTAAACACTCGTCTATTACCAAGAAAATGTTCCTACAAGATATTTAAGTTTATTATATAGGTGTATACAATAATTTTTCCTAACTTTTACAATGTAATCTAGCTTATATTAAAGTATACAAATAAAATGTTCGGAACAAACAGAAGAAATATTTTAACTTTACATATTGCTAATTATAAAAATACTAGCAAACCCGACGAACTCCGTTTCGCCACCAGATGGTTTAGTGAGAAAGATGAAGAAATTTTTTGTTTGTTTTATATTTGAAAAGGAAAAATTTGATTTTATTACACAACAGTAATGAATTTATTTCGATTACAAAAATGAAGTGATTTTTAGTTGAACTTCTCTAAGTGAATGAAAGTGAATCCGCAAATTATTCGTTTCATTGAAGTGCTCTTTGGTAAACCACATTTTTTTGTTTTTTGGTCTGACGTTAACACAAACAAAGCGGATAGTTTTCCAACTCGTGAAAAGGCAACGTATAACTGCCCATGTGAAAAACAATGATTTTCTAAATAATCTATTTGAAATTTATCCCGCAAACACTAAGCGATTGGCCTTGCGACTTGTTATTGCGAACGCAAGGCGAACTGGAAATTGCAATCGTTTGAAGTCAAACGGAAGACCAGTCGGAATCATTGGTATGTCACCAAATCGCCGGGAATTTTTTATTTAATGGTGAAATTCAGGGCGTGTACATCATTATTCTTTGCGGCAAGAATTGCTCGTTGACTTGACCAAGCATAATTCTGATAATTCTCACTAATGTCATTACTCGAATTTTTAATTACGGTGCGTGAAGTTCCAGCAGCTTGCATTAAGGCACGATGCCATGCACACCTAATTTTCTTAGCTATAAACCTTGCGGAGCCCGAGACCTTTCCAACGAATGCAAAATTGTCGAAATCGGTTTGTGCGTTCCGGAGTTATTTCGTCAGGAAGGAAAACCCGACTTATTTATATATATATATATATATATATATATATATATATATATATATATATATATATATATATATAGAAGACTATAATACTAAAATAAACGACAAACAACTAAATCAATTTAATTTTAAGAAAAAATACAAGCAAACTCTATTAATTTTATATGTTAACCGATTTTGAAGTTACTAGCATTAAAAAGCGTAAAAATACGCTGCCCGCTGATAATTTATTATTATTTATTATTTTAATCTTTGCTATTTTGATTTCGTCGTAGAAAAATTGTTGCTGTACATTATATTTACACCTATTACAAGCCAATTACCTATATAATATTTTATTTATTTTATTTCAGGTTTTACATCTTCGTGTGCTCCTCTTGTAATTTCGGAAACGAATTTGTGAGACGTCTGGAAACAAAATGGGTCGACATAGTCCATCTACTATTATTCAATTTAACCTCATACAATAATATAAAATACTTTGATTTAGATAACGTTATTTTACCTTACGCTCATGATAATTGGCATGCCCTGCAATTGACACCACAGGTAATAATAATACATACACACATACTCCAAATTACAGTAGAACTCCAATTATCCGAACTCCGACTATCCGAATCGCCGATTATCCGAATCACTTTCAGAAAAAAAAATGTCCAAAAAAAGTCTAAGTGCCATATTATTCTTCCACCAGCAAAGCCAGTGTAGGCACATTGTTTGTTTTGATTTGGCGGAGATGTTTAAAAAACAATGATTTTTATTTCTAAACTTGTACATAAGTACATTTTATTTATATTTAAAACATGTGAAAATATCATGTTTCTTTCATTTAATTCAATAAAAAAAAATAGTGCAATATCAAAACGTAACTTTTTTTCTTTCCAATGGCAATTTTTTAAAAAAAACTCCGATTATCCGAATATTTGATTATCCGAATCGGCCCCGGTCCCGATTAATTCGGATAATTGGAGTTCTACTGTATCTTCAAAATCAAATTTTTATTACTTATCCTTTACCTAGATGAAAGATATTCCACTAGCAGAAATGCGCGAACAGATTTTGTATGCTTTATCGAATAATAAGAATCGTTTCAAATGTGGACGAGAGAACAAGAAGAAGGTGACAATTTGGGGCTTACGAGAAAGGGTGCCTCCACCAGCTCCTTGTATAAGTCTTAATTTCTCGGGGGTTGTAACCGATGCAAATCTGCGAGAGGCTTTGAAGGGGAATAAACGGATGCAGTTTCTTGAGTAAGTTGAATAATAATAGTAATAGGTATTTGGTATTTTAGTACTTATGTAATTTTATTTTTAACATACCGAAAGATAAAGTTTATGTTTTTGCCAGAAAATCAGGTTTGCTCATTTTGTTTTTTCGACGTTTCAAGTCGTTCTGAATCGAATGAGACCAAATTTAATGGAAATGTATGTATCTATGTGTGTGTGTGCGTGTTTGTTTTTTTGTACAACGAAGTGAATGAATTTATGCATTTCAGACTAGGTCTTTTGTCTGCGTATGTCGGACTCAATACCGCCTGGGTATAATACCGACTAAAACCACCGCATATCTCTAACCTCTTGTCCCTACGGAAACCGCCGTTAAGCATTACTTCATGGGGGGAGGATCTAGAATGTTATCGTGAACAGATTTTTTACCTTAAATCGACGTTTTCTCAAGAATACCTGGACCGATTTCAAAAATTTAAAAGCCAAAATACTGTCGTTTTTCAGTTTTTTGTGTGACGATCGACCGAGCCGTTTGTTTTGTAATTTGAATTTTGGACTTTGTTTCAAAGATATCAATGCTAAATTAATTTACAAAGGAAATTGAATTTGTTTACAATTTTGGTGCACTTTTGCGCAGTGATAATTTATGTTCGAAACGAATATTCTAAAGTATTATAGACCTGAGAAAAGTGACTTAATTTATAAACTCTTGCTATTTTATCATTATTTATTATCTTATTTTTCTTGTTTTTGTTTCAAATTCAATTTATGGCATTTTTTAGATTTTTTTTATTGTTGCATTTTGTACAATAACTCCGTTTCAGTTATAATTTGTACAAAAATATATTTGTATTTTTGATATTTGACATTTTATTATATTTGATAAATTTATTTAAGAGTTACTTAATGCATCAAACTTAAAATTCAAAATAAATATAAAGAGGAATTTTTTAGATACAAAATTATTTAGTTGCAGAAAAAAGCTACATGAATTCCTCAACTATAACGTTATTTTTTGTTAATTTTTTATCATTTAAGATATCCGAAACGCATCCTAAACTTCTCCTAATTGATATTGTAAGGAACGAATTGTATGTATTTATCTTTACTTTCCCATTTGTTATTTTAATGTGAAATTTTTAACAATACTTTAAAAATATTGTGCAAAGATTAGTAGAAGATGCAAAGAAATGTATATTTCTTGAATTATATTAAAAAAAAACAACGATATTGAAAATTTCATATCCGAATCTTGTATTGGCGCGCCTTCTAAGGTTATTCAAGGTTGGACCGGCTCTGATTATTACTTAATTTCATATTTTAAGTGAATTAATTAGTCGAATTCTGTTCATATGTGTATCATTCAATCTGCCATACATATACTGTATCTTATATTATTTTAATTTCATCTCAGCAGCGTATCTTATATCATTAATTTAACATCTCAGCTGCTTTTTATCAATAATAATGTACACATTTCATTTTTCTTAATCATAATCATAAATTCATTATTCATATTCTAATATTGTCTAGTCTCATAAGTAAATTGAAGTTTTTGGTATATGACAGTTTTCATTTGTTTGCAATGCCAAACAATGCCTCAAATATTTTCAATGTCAAACAATGATATGCTGTTTTATGCAATTTTTTTCATTTATTTCTACAATATTACTATATTTCTATAATCACATACATCCCAAAAGATTCCCTTAACAAATTTTTGAAAGATTTATTAAAATCCGAATAATAGTTTAGGAGGAGTATATTTACATACATCATTACAGAAAAATTTGATATATACGATGTAATCTTATATATAAAATTCTTCTGTAATGTATGAATTGATACTCCTCCTAAACGATTATTTGGATTTTGATAAATCTTTCTGAAGTTTGTTAAGGAATTTCTTTAGGATGTATGTGATTATAAAAATATAGTAGAAATAAATAGAAAAAATTGCAAAAAATAACATTATTGTTTGACATTGAAAACATTTTAATACTTGAGAACTGTCATCTGCCAAAAATGTCGATTCAATTGAAACTTGAAATTAGTTTAAGCGAGTCAAGACAATATTAGTAAATAAAATCCATATTCATGTATATGAATAAGAATAATGTAATATCTACAATTCTATTGCCGAAAATCAGCTGAGATGTGCCAGAAATTAAAATAATATAAGATGCAGTATATGTTTGGCAGATGAAATTATATAATTTAGTTTAATAAATAACGCAATACGTCCAAAGTTGCATATACATTATTTTTTAAACTTATGCATGTTGTATTTTGCTTCACTTTACTGAATTATTTAAATGTAAAAGAATATTTATATATATATATATATATATATATATATATATAAAGTTTTTGCCGTAGGTTTGAATGTTCAAGTTGTTAAATCTCAATTTTTATTTATTAACACATCATAGAAAAGTCTATGCAATTAACCTTAAGCTATTATGTCACTTACACCTAATTCTTTCTTTTACAGTCGTACTCCTGTGAACAAATCCACCAACATGACACTCCAATCAATCAACTCGAATACATTCACCTCGAATAGCATAGCAATGAAACGTCGTGAGAACATAGTAGTTCCCTTAGACTCCAACATGATCTCCATAATGAAAGGCAACGCATATCGCCAAAAAATTGCCAAAAATTCCGACTCCGATTCAATATGTTCCCTTGATGACAATGAAGACATGTTCAAAAAAGAGAACGACAGACAAGAATTGATGTCAGCAGACACCGATGTGAGCGAGGACATCAAAATTCCTGAGGCTAGGATAATTGAAAGTGATAAAAAGGATGAGTTGAAATTGATATTAAAGATAGAGACTTCTGAATCGAAGTTGACGGGTAGTAGAAGGCGTAAGAATTTAAGAAAGTCTGTACGAGAAGATAAAGCAAAAGCTGTGTGTCCACCGACACCACCTACGTCAGTATCAGCACCTCCTACGCCACCAGCAACAGGTTCCAATTCAAACGACACCAACTACTACGTCAATGAAAACTCCAAAGACTCCAGGTTAGAACCGATGGACACGGATAGTGTAGTGCATCTGAAATCCATGTTCGACAGCCTAAAATCAATTAGACATGACCGATGTGATTCATCAGACGAGACTTCGTCCAGATGCACCTTAGATTCCATTATCCCGCCGCCTAAGAATTTTAGAGGGAAGAACAATCCCTTTCATTCGCCGCCTAAAAGTACAAATCCTGATCTGTTGAAGGGAAAGAATAAATTGAGTGCGAAGAAGAGGAAAAACAGTGTGGTGGCCAACTTGTTTGATACCAGGCCTGCTGCTAGGACGCTGAAAAGGAAACTGAGTGAGAAGGATTTATTGATTGGGGAAAATGGAGAGGTGAAGAGGAAAAAGTTTAGGAAGTCGCGGGGGCGAAATTCACTGCCAGAGGTAAGAGGCAATATAAGTTTCTATAGAATTTTAGAAATAACTATTATTAAGGTGACCATATTTTTTTCAATCAAAACCGGAGCGGTAATTGTTGGTTATGATAATCTGGGTTCAGCAGCCAAAAAGTTTCCATTTTTTTTTTTTAAATTTTTGTCGAAATTATTAATGTAAGAGTCTGATTAAATTTCGGAATTTTGTATTCAGCAATTTTCTCACACATAACGTTCTTGTTTTATATATATGCATACGATTTAAGGCTCACTTAGGCACATATGATTCTCGTTTGCTAGGGATGAAAATAAGATATTTTCCTAAGATGAAAATAAGATATTTTACCGTGCATTATTAAGGCAGCGGTTTTCAATCTGTGGGGCGCGTCACCTCAGGGGGGCGTGTACATCTGTTTAGAGAATACTATTTTCCCTATAACCTATAACCTATAACCCAAGACTTTTGAATTGATATTAAAAAATTAACAAAAAACAATTGGTGTTTATGCATATTTTTACTTAATTTTGCATATTAATTTGTAGTCTAATGATATCAGTTGAGTATTTGTGGAATTAAGTTGCTGAAAAAATTAAGGGGGCCGCAACAATTTTTGTTATTAGAGCAGGGGGCGCGATGCAAAAAAATGTTGGAAACCACTGTATTAATGTGACCATATTTTTTTTTTTAAATCAAAACCGGGACGGTAATTTTTTGTTATGGTTATCCGGGACGGGACTCGTCGGCAGGGGAGTATGTAATATAACTTAATATTTTTAAAATAACAATTACTATTCAAGAATTGAATATATATATTTGTCTAATTTTTTTTTAATCATATTTACTGACTTTTAGTAAGAACTTCATTATTCGATTATATGTTATATTATTATATTTTTTGCTTTTCAATTTTTTTAAAATTTTGTTCAATTTTCTTTATTATTATTTCCTGAAGGAGAAGTTTGTTTTTATCAAAAAATCCGATTCGCTAATTTTACGTTTTCTCAACGTATCAAGCCATTCTGAAATTTTCAAAAAGTATGTATGTGTGTGTGTGAACAGATTTTTTGCCGAAAATCGACGTTTTCTCAAAAACGGCTGGATCGATTTCAAAAATGTAAAAGCCATTCGACCGTTTCTTCGTAAATAGCAGAAAAGTGAACAAATTTTCGTCCACGTTTTAGCCCGCAATTCTGAATCGATTTTGAAAATTTAAAAATCGTTCGAAAGATGTTGGTTGGGAATAGAGCTGATTAGTTTTTAATAGAGATCGGCAGGCAGTTTTCTTGAAATAAGTGTTAAAATTTTTTTTTTGACGATAGATACTATAGTCTACGACAAAACGTTTAATTTTAAAGATTCGTGAAAGTAAAATGTGATGTGCCAAACATTATTAATTCATTAAAATTTGAAATACTAATTTACAATTTTAGGGCATACAAGCACGTGTCAATGCAATATAATAAATGTAATTACAGTTAATTTGTTTGAGAAAATTCTATTGGAAATCGCAATGTTTAGATTTAATTGAAAGCGTTAACTTTGTTTTTAAAATAAACAGTTAAAAATTTTATTTAAATATCTAAATTTCATTTTCGATCGATTAAGTCAATTCTTACACATTTCGGGAAGTTCATGCAACTTGCTTTAAGGCAAAATGCCACTTTCAACTAGTTTATTTGATCATTCCAATGTAATTTTCCATTTATTTGATACCCAAATATCATACTTGAATTGAATTGAATCTGTTGTGTTGAAAATAAATGTATTTAGTTTTGTGCTCATTTTTCAAATATATAATTGATTTTATCCTCAATTTTTGTCTGTTTATATTATCACAGTACACACTATCAATCTACCTACATGTTGATTTAGTTTTTTTTCTTTCAAATTTAGCATGTATATATAATAGATAAAATAATGGCCCTAGAACTGTTCTTTGAGGCACTCCACATGTGATTTTTTATTCTACTACTTAAATAATTTTCAACTTTTGGTTTTTAAACACATGAGGCTTAAAAGGGGATGTTTGACAAATTGCAAAATATTACTTAATAGGGGAGGGGAAGGGGGCTACTACAAGGTATTATGTGTATTTTTTGCTTAAATTTAAACAAAAATTGCAAAATTTAAAAAAATACCACAAATTTAACATTTTTATACATATTAAACTTAACATTTTCATACGTATGAATATGATCAAGGAAAATTTTGAAAATCGCCAAGAGGGAGAAAGGGGCTCAAAAATCCTTAAAAAGCGATCACGGGATTAGTGTTCTTTCAGAAAAAACTATTAATCCTCACTAAGCCGCCCAAGTATTTATCACACAAAATATTTTAGGCTTTTCCAATTATTAGAATTTCAATTGTAAAATACTAAAAGCCATAATTTGTAAAAAAAAAACCTAAAAGCCACCAACAAATCATAATGATTAATATTTGAATGACGAATGACGAATCATTGGCACTCGATTCTTATCGACTCTTATCTGCCGTAACGCACTTCCGTTGCATTTGTACGGATTTACAACCTAGTCGCGCCTAACACTAAACATACCATGACGGGTCAAATGACCCATTTTGAACTTTTGCATTTAAATGCACGTATAATTTCATTGCGTTTGCACATTTGACTTCATGACTTTTTTTAAGTAATTAAAGTACAGTTATAAACAATTTTTTTTTTGTTTTGTTTTGTTTATTCTGAGTTATCCTTCTTGTATACCGATATCTACCACAATGGGTCATTTGACCCGGAGAGAATTTTTTGGTTTATGAGATTGTCGAGTCATATTTGTAGTCAGTAAGTTGCACATTCTTCTAAGCACTGAAACTAGCTCAGAATAATTTCAAGAAAATGCCAAAAATTTTAGATTGAAAATAGCTTTTTATTGTTAGAAAAAGTGACAGAAATTGAAAGTCTTGGTAAGTACCTAGCTTATATTTTATTTTGATAGCTATAGTAATACAGGTTATTTTTTACCCGGAAAAATGCCGAAGCAAACAAGACATTACAAGTTCTTAGAAGATATAAATAATATTGGCGAAGAGTTTTCAGAAATTAGTGAAGATGAATTTTCTGAAAATGAAGATATACTGGTTGAAAATGAAAATGAGTTTGATTCAACAGATACCGACGATAAAGAAAACAATGATAAACGTTTACCTGAAACTGTTTCATATTACAATAAAACCAAATTTGATGTAGACATGACCGATCAAATGGCGAGAAAATTTACTACAAAAACCAAGTCTTGCAGATGGCCTCTCCTAGTTTTTTTCAATATCCTTGATTTAGCTAACATAAATGCCTGGATTTTGTAAAAGCAAACGACAGGAGAAAATATCTCGCGACAAGATTTTTTACTCAAGCTAGAAGAAGAACTTGGCGCCGATTTTCGAGAAGTCCGTGAACAACCAAAACAAGAAAAAAATACGAAAATATCGTTGCTTAAGTCTACTACAGATGCTTATAAACGTATGAGATGTCAAATAGAATGCTGTAAAGAAAATAAAACCAAACTGTAATAAAAAATAAAACCAAAATGTACAATGATACGATTAACTATGAATTAAATTTTTTTATTTTTGCTTTTGTAATAGAAATGCTCAACATACTTTTTTCTTTAATTAAAATAAATTTAATTTTTATTTTTATTTTCTTCCTAACATCCATATTTCATACATTCAAGCATGAAACATAGAGTCGGGTCATTTGATCCGCTATGGTAGAATTAGGTATATATTAAGTCTTGGTATGAATAGTGCTAAAGAAGTTTTACTTAAAAAATTAAGGGCCAATTCCCGGATACAATTAGAAATGTTGACCAGATGAAACCTAACTTCACGTATATGTTACCAAAGAGACACCAGAAAGTTGCACTTATGATAGCATTGTTATTTGATGTTTGTACCTTTTGGAGGTTAGGTTTTATGTGTGAAACGCCTGATCACACTGCAAATACATTGCTTTTTGACAATTCGTGACTACCAACTCCTATCACTACAGACTCGCAACATAACATTTCTACTTATCCAAAAACAGGTTTCTTTAATACCAAGCATCTACAAAACCTCTAAATATTTTCTATTTCTCCCTCCCCCCAGATGTCAAACTCAACAACAGCCTCCAAGACGGCCCTCTTCACGCCGCTCCACTCGACTGAAACAACCCAAAGATCTCTCCGAAGCAGCCTCAATGTACCTCAAACAAGCAGCACCCCCATCTCGAACTGCGTCGACTACGCCCTGAACGGCCGGAGACTCCGCCAGCGCCAAGACATCACCTACGCTGAAACAGGCCGAAGAAACTCCACCAACGGACGTCTCTCGACACAAATCAGTCAGATCAGTCAGATAGGACAATCAGCCCCCGGGGGCAAAGTCTCCGATGTCTGCATGACCGATCTGAAGAGCTCGGTGAATGTTTACTTTGGTGCCATGAATAGGATTCTGAATGGTGAAAAGTTTGCAGTGCAGGGCAGGAGGATCAACTCGGATGGCAAGGTGCAGTATTTGATCGAATGGGAAGGAGGACCATCGTAATGAGATGGTGGATCGAGGGAGGATGTATAATGAAGGTACTTTTTTATTCGTACTATGTTTGAGTAAAGTGGTTATTGTGGACACTTTTTGTATAAAGCGGTTAGGTAATAGTTGTTTGAATTTTTTGGCAAGTTTTGTTTGGCATAATCGAGTCGAAAAGGTTATATTGGATATATTATTTGGATGTGGATACAAGATTAATTAGGTTGTTTGTTGAGTCACAAAATGTATGCTTCAGAAAAAGTCAAAATAAATAAAAATTATATCAATTTTTTTACAAACTTTGGTTTATCAAAAGTTTTTCTGGATACTTCCAAAATGCTCATTGTTTTAAATATTTAATAATATTGTACAAGTATCAAATGCAACAATTTTTTTATTATGCAACTGTATTATTCCAAAAAATAAAATTCAATTATTTATTGAAAAATGTCAAACCTTGCGCTTATATGTGAGCAACCACAAAATTTACTTTTTTAACAACCAATTTTTATATTACTATTGATACAGGAGAAATGAATTGTTATATTAGAGGCCTATGAGATGTGGTTTATCATAAAATTCTATTAAAGATTTTAAAAATTGGCTGCGTTATAATATATATCATTTTTTTTGCTTGAAAATATGGTTTGCTGTTAATTTTGGCAAATGTTTCATTAATGTTCTGAAGTCATTCTGAATCTTTTGACACTATTACTTTAAAAATATTCTAGTTGAATAAATCATACTTCAATCAAAATAAAAAAAAATTTGATGTCGACTATAGGCGACATACTGGATGTCGACTATAGGCGGCACTGGATGTCAAGGGGATGTCGCCTATAGACGACGCTCGTAACGATAGGTTTTTATATCTAAATTTGTCAGTTTTTTTTGTCATGTAGTCTGTCAATCGTTTTTTACAATTAGTAAAAAAATATACTAGTTTAATAAATACTGTGTGTCGACTATAGGCGACACTTTTACACACAGGTCGCCAATAGGTAGTATAACATAAGCCTTTTTGTCGTATAGTAGTTGATGTGTAGTCAAAAAATATTTTAGTTAAATTAATCATTAAATTTGAATTATAATTAATTAAATTCGATACACTGAATGTCATCTATAGGCGACACTCATAAACACAGGTTGCTACGCAGGTGTTGCCTTTAGGCGCTTGTAGCTAAAGTATTATTTACCGAAATTTACTCAGCAGTTTTTTTTTTGTCGTGTAGTCTCTGAATTGTTTGATACAATTAGTCAAAAAATATTCTACTTAAATTAATTATACTTGAATCAAAATTGATTCAAAAATTAAAAATTAAAAATTCGATACACTGAATGTCATCTATAGGCGACACGTATACACAAGTCGTGAAGAGCATTTTTATATTGAAACTTACCTATCAGTTTCTGTTGTTGTGTAGTCTCTGAATCGTTTGATACTGTTATTCAAAAAATATTTTAGTTAAATAAATCATACTTGAATTAAAATAAAAAAATCGATACACTGGATGCCATATATAGGTGACACACGAACACACATCTTTTTTTTCTCGCATAAGTCTCTGAATCGTTTAGCACTATTAATAAAAAAATATTTTAGTTAAATCATACTCCAATCAAAATAAAACATCCACACACTGGATGTCGACTGTAGGCGACACACGAAAACAAAGGTTGTCACATGGTTGCTGTTTATAGGCGACGCTTGTAGCTAAAGGATTTATTTATCAAAATTTACTCATCAGTTTTTTTTAAATATAGTCTCTCAATCGTTTGATACTATTAGTTGAAAAATATTTTAAATAAATCATTATATGTACTCTAATCAAAATAATAAATTTCTACACACCGGATGTCAACTATATGCGGCACACCGGATGTCGACTATAGGCGACACACGTACACTCCAATTGTGAAGAGGATATTATTTTTTTCTTATCGTGTAGCAACTTTGATTAAAGTAATATTTAAGTTTTTCATTGATAATTATTTCTACGTTTTGTATATATGGGATGTCTCATTTTTTCAGGAACTATTAAAGACAAACAATAAAATTGATTTAATGCATTCATAACGGTTTTAGTTACTTTAAAACCATTATAAAAATAATTCTGTAAATAATAAATTCAAAAATACACACAATATTTATACGACTCCTTATTCCTAAAGAAATTCGAAAATGTCCATATTAAGGACCACCATAATATATATATATATATATATATATATATATATATATATATATTATAGTGTGTTGGTATTTTCTAAGCGTACATTTTTCTGACTCGACTAAAATTAATTCTCGTGTCCATTATCTTGTTCAATATAACACTGAGACAAGTAATCATCGAAAGGCACTTAGATAATTTTTTTATAACGACTGATTTTGTTATTTACAATAATTTAGAAAATTACTTAATGTATATATAAACTGATAAATATTTCTTTTAAGTAATAACGCACAAAGTGTGTAAACGAAGTTAGAAAATTAAAATCTTATCCGTATACCATTGTAATAGTCAACTATTAATTAATTAATAATAAATATAAATATATATCGAAGTATCGATCAATAGATGATAATAATGGAACATAATTCAGGTATTGAATGTGCTAATAATAAATAAATTTGATACTTTCATAATTTTGTCATATATTTATAAATTGTTGTATATATATAGTATATAGTATAAAATGCATGGTAAATAAGATTTGTATTGATGAGGAGAACTTCAAGCATACTTGTCTGGGGTTTTCAGCTAGTAAAATATTATAGGCCTGTGGAAAGTGCTTCACCTAATGATTAGGGAAAAAGTCAGGCATTTCACACATAAAACATAACCTCCAAAACCAAACAAATGTTACAAAATAGCCTCAACATAAGTAACTTTCTGATATCACTTTGTTTACTTATATGTGAAATTTAACTAAAGTTAATATTCTTACGTTTGTGCCTTTTGGAGGTTAGGTTTTATGTGTGAATCGCCTGATGCACAACTAAGACACAGACAAAATAAAAATTTTGACTCGAGAAATAGCGTCCTTGAAACCTTCAGAAAACTTTATATGTATAACTAGTTCTGTTGATACTTGATATGGATTTAAGTTGGTCCTTAATAAGAATATTTTGGATTTTTTTTTTGCTCCCAGGGTTTCAAATGGTTCCAAATTGATAAAATAATATTCTATGAAAGTTTTAATTCTTAATACTAACTTGTAGATAGTCCGCGATTCAATTCAAGTTTCCCGGTTTTTCTTTCTAAGAAAATACTCATTTTATAACATATCAAATTTTTGTTGTAATTTTTTTTATTCATGATCAAAATAAGCAAATACAATCTTGATCTCAAAATTTTGATTCACTTGTCGCAAAGTTATAAAATTCCAAAAAACAAATAGAATTTTACCCATGTTATTTACATAAGAGTATTTGATCGAATTGCGGACTATCTTAAAGTTAATATTAGAAGCTAAAACTTTCAGAGAATATTTTTTCATCATTATAGAATCATTTGAGACTCTGGGAGTAAAAAAAAATGTCAAAATATCCATATTAAGGACCAACTTAAATCCGTATTAAGGACCAACAGGACTAGTTATACATATAGTGTTTTCTGCAGATTTCAATTATGGTTTCTGTTTTTTATTCAAAATTTTTACCATAAGTTTCTGAAAGTTGTGTCTTAGATGTACATCGGGCGTTTCACACATAAAACCTAACCTCCAAATGGCACTTTGATAACACATGCGTGAATGGTAATACTTAGACGTTTGCGGTTAGGACCTCTGGAGGTTTTATGTGTGAAACTTTAGAAATTTTATCTCCAATAAAATATAAATGTTATGACATCACTATAATACGGGTCTATCTTCGTATGAGTAGTTTGTAAAAACTGTCAACAAACTATGTATTTGCTGTACGATCATGCGCTTTACACATTTAACCTAACTTTACGTATTTGTTATCAGAAAGTTGCACTTATGATAACGTTATTTGATATTTGTATCTTTTGTAGGTTAGGTTTTATGTGTAAAATGCCTGATTACACAGAAAATACATAACATTTTGACAGTTTTTACTACCAATTTATATGAAATTTGAATCGTAACATAGCGTTACCATGACAACGCTATGCTACATTTGTATTTTATCAGATAATTGACCTCATAAGCCATGAATAAATAAATTACTAATATTTTAACAATATTTTACTATATAATTATATAAAAAAACATAATTTTAACATACTAGAGCCTACTGTAGGTGTATTCATTTCTTACAGTCTGACATATTTTCCATATTATTAAGATTAAGCACGTTCCCACAGGCCTATAATATTTTTAGGGTTCAGTTCAACTATCAACCTGAAACACTCAGATGAGTAAATTTGAAGTTCTTCTTGTGAGTCGATGAATTGTTTGTATTTACTTAATTTTTCATAAAGATGATAGAAAGATTGTAAAGTTGTGAAACTTGTCGATTTAGTCTTTATGAAGTTTTAATAATAGAAAAATTTAATACACACTATATATATATATATATATATATATATATATATATACATAGTGTATTTTTGTGTATATGTATATATTACAATTAAGTTCTAAATTTATATACGAATGATTTTTCAGGCTTGTACATATTCTTAACGTCTAGTTTAATTTCTATAAGGTTCATAATGAATTATTAATTCTAATTAATTTGACTGAAACAAGTCTTTTGAAATGTGTGTGTGTGAGAGCTGTTAAAATTTAAAATAATTTGTGTGCTTGAATATATATATATAGGGGGCAATTCTGCCTCATAAGATTGCGTTGTCATGGCAACGAGGTAGAGAAACTGAGAAAATGTCTGTGTATTTGCCGTGCGATCAGGCGTATTTTACATATAAACAATAACAAAATAATGGATTCTGTTATAACATTCTTCTTTGCTTGTTTATATGTAAAATACGCCTGATCGTACAGCAAATAAACAGACATTTTCTACCGTTGCCATGACAACGCTATGTTATGAGGCACAATTGCCCCCGTATTTAAATGTAAATGTCGTCTGACATTTTATTCGGTTTAAGCGAAATGTCATTCCGTCACTTGTGTATATAATTACTTCTATATATATAGTTTAATATTAATACACTGCCTGTTTGTAT